TTGATGGTTTCTTTATAGCATGAGATGATGGCTGTCTTCAGCTCTTTTCAACTTTCCTCCATTCTATTAAATTGAACTCTTGAGAAATTGTGGTGAAGATATTGTTGGAAGTTCACTCGTCTGCTTGGCTACTCAATATTGAGCTTTCTTTGGAACTGTTTCTTCATCTTCAGCTGCTTCTGATGACACTCGATGGACATTCAGGAGTGGACAATCCTGTGGTCTGTCCAGCAGTTGTCCGCACTGGTCATTGCTTTGGTAATGAGGACTTGAACTTGTCTTTTGGCAAAACAATGTGTTAGTGATGACCAGCTGGTGTTCTGCACATTTGGTGATCAATTCTGCTGGAGTTGCAATTCCCAACACCTTCCTTTCTGATGGGTCCTTTCCAGAGTTGGGCATTCTTTCCAACTCTGGCACTGAAATGTCAAGGATGATAATTTTACCTTCGTTAGGGATGTTGATGAGTTTGGTGAATGGGTGAAGTAAAAGCCTTCTTTGGACTTATCTATGGCATAAAGGGTTGGAACATTGGCACTCACGAATGTTGCCTGCTGGTTCTTTGCAAGTTGCAGACACAGTGTCATGGGGCAATCGTTGATAATAACAGGGAGCTCCAAGAGTCAGTTTTTTAGTTAGTTCTTGATAATAAATCCAATTCCATGGATCCTGGATTGATCCTTGGGGTTTTCCTCTCCAGAAGACGTAACCAGCACCTTCTTCCCACAGCTGCATTCTGCCTGCTCTTTGAGTCACTCGAGGAGCAGCGATTTCAATGTTGAAGCAGCTGAGTTCACAGGCAACAAGGGAAGTTCTTTGTTCCAGATGATTGTTTTGCTCATTATCCAGGTTCTGAAATAGAATTTTATCTTTAGTTTACAAACTGCAGGCAGATAAGCCCATTGGATGTGGCTTTCCAGCTAGGTTTGGTGATGGAAGAGGCTATTTTCAGGCACTTTTTGAGCCGCCTCCCTGTGTAAGATGGGCAGAGTCTATCCTGAAGAGGGCTGCCCAGTTGTGAAGAAAGCTGCAAACTCTCACCTATTCCTATTCCAAGAGCAAAATGATTGAGTCAAACTCCCCTGCCGATGTCCAGATTCGGAGCTAGGGATTTCCAGATCTCTTAATCCTGTCCCTGTCATCTCTCGCTGAACTGTTCCTCCCCTCTGACTGCATCTTTATGAGTGGCCCTGCCTGGAGTCGAGAACTCCAGACAGCATCACTCTCAGGATCAATGAAACACTCAAGCCTTTCCACTGCATCAAGATGGCAATCCATGAAAAGGCCTTCCAAGTGGAACAAGTCAAATTAAGAAACTATCCTCAAAAGCAACTGGGGGCTGTACAAGTTTAAACATCCAGTTAGTAGCTAAGTTGAAAAGCTGCCAAACATATCGGATTCAAATCCCAAAAAATGAGATGTTTACACCTGAATCAACAGCACTGGCCCTGTTTTGAATATCAAGCTAAGGTAAAAGTAAGTGAAAACCTAAAGAACTGCGGATGCTGTAAATCAGGAACAAAAACAAAGTTGCTGGAAAAGCTCAGCAGTCCGGCAGCATCTGTGAAGAAAAAATCAGAGTTAACATTTCGGGTCTGGTGACCCTTCCTCAAAACTGTTCCATAATATACAGTGATTTTTAATTTTGGTTTTACTGTTGCTTAAATAAAAAGTTTGCTTGTGAGAAAATTAGAGTTTTGGCTTGGATGAATTACTCAGCACTGTGAAGGAGCAAAAATATATAGTAAAATTTATTCTGATACAATACATGCATATAATCACATACATTGTTTACATTGAGTATACTAATGTTTGGATAAACAAAAACAAAGAGTCTGATGGCAGCAGTTCTATGCCTTTACACACCCTTGTCAAATCTATTTTAGCTGAGAATAATGCAGGTCAGTTGGACTTGTTTTGAAAACACTGATGACTAATGAAATCAGATGGCAGTATAATTCAGATCAGCTAAATCAGCACTGAAGTGAATCTTTATTCACCAATAGTTAAACAACATTGAAAAAAAACCTCATTTATAAACAATGTATTTCACCTAAATGACCATATCCAGTAACACTGCCATACAAATATTGCAGATAATATACAGATAGAGCAATTGTAAAAACATTGGCTTCAGTTTTTACTGCTGCTGCACTTGGCAGTCTGTAATTTTCCACTCATTGAAATAAATGCAAAACAAATCAAAGGCTGGCAAGCAAAAGTGGAAAACGCAGGCTGCTAAATCACATTGTAAAACAAATACCTACTTAAAAGGCTCTAATTGAATTTTAAGCATAGACACCAGCATTTTGTCAATCTAGGTGGTCATTGGAATATTGTAGTTATGATTACTTCATTTTAACTGAATGAAATTACAAGCAATCCCCATATAAAGCGAATAATATTTTTGAAAGAGTACTGTAGGTCTGAGCACAAAACGATCATGTTTAAATGGGAAGAAATAGTACTATTCACATGCGTTTTTTTTAAGCTTCAGTATACAGAAACAACTTTTGAGGGGGAAGTCTAGTAGAAAGGGTACACACTCTAAATTAGAGATTGGACATATAGAAGCAAAATCAGAAGTGCCAAATAGGCAAAGGTAGGATACGAAAAATCTGGAACTTTTCCGAAAAGGCTGTTGTTTGGTTGAAAAGGATTTGTTGAATATTTGAAAAGACTGGTGTCGATCTTGGTTAGGCAAGGGCCTCAAAGGAAATTAGCAGAACAGGCTCAGGAACTGAATGAACTATTCCTAATAATGTGTTTTTTTTCCAGCACAGACAGTGGGCAGCTGGCAATGTTACTAGCAACTCCTAGGTTCCAGCAGAGCCCAAGTGCAGTTCTGATCAATGCACTCTCAGATTCACTTCTTTGTCTAGACTGCCTGTTAGTCTTTACTCATGACAAGTTCCAATAATTCAGCTGCAATTTGGAAGAACTGTATAGAAAATGTATAAGCATCAACTTGTTCTTATATTACTGCATGAGATGTATTAAGACTACCAATATAGCCAAGTACCTGTTTACTTGGCCAATTTTTTAAATGCATATACTTCTTTTTAGGTTTTTGTCTCCCAGCCCCACTAGTCACTGACCAAAATAATGCTCAATGACTTATTTTCCCGTTTGAGAGGAAGAACCCTCTCAATTGGGTACATTGATACACAAATTTCGTTGACGCCTAAACATTTCACTGATTCCAGTATTGAGAAAAGGTGGTCATAGTCATTTGCATGCAGTGCATTTTTCATTTGTACTTGTGGATAAATATTAAGAATTACACTCGAGTAAAAAAATACACATTTGAAAATTAGGACAGCTTGGTAGTCAGATGCGAATAAGGGACAAATTATTTTAATGTTGCAATCAGTGTGAATATAATAAAATACTAGCTGATCCTACATGCTTCAAAATTAAATCAAAGTAAAGTGAAACTAATATCTTATAAAATAAACAGATGATGTAACTCACAATGCTTTTAATGAGAATATATTTGTTAAACACATTTAATTTCACTTTCTATGCATTGTGAACATCATAGCAAAATGAAATGAGGTTAAGCATCTGCACAGATGGCTTACAGCACTTACATTTACTAAAATGTGATTATTGCAATTTAATAACTGTTACTTTCTCCACTGCATAGAACAGGGTTCTAAACTCACGCAACCTGCCCTGTTTACAATATCTTACACATGTTGTAATAATTTTTTTAAAGAATGAAGCAAGGGACTCAACTCCACTTAAATATCATTATACACAGTTATGAAAAAAACAGAATAAGAGCTCTAGAATAATGTCAAAAATACTCTGTCCATATTGCTGCAATGTCCATGAATGCATTTACAGTTAAGGCAATTAATTCTGTCACAAAATGATTTCAGTGAATGCTGGTTACAAGAGTGAACAAGGCATACCAATAAGGCATTGTTCATATTGTTTGTTTTCTTTGTGCAGAAGGAGGAGGTTGCAAGGAATTTATGTTGTAAAGGAAACTAAATATACAATCCATCATTGCATTAATAATACAGCTGCATCAAGACATTTGAACAACTCCTTAATAGGCCCCTTAATTTTTCACTACCTTTTGTTATATCAAGAGGTATTCTGACATATTTAAACAGTGGGATAAACACATTTGAAAAACATATATGTTCAATCATAACTTATAAAAAAAAACACTTTTTTAAAAAAACTGGTTCCTACCTTCCTTAAAACAATTTCCCCACTCATATGCATGGCCAGGTTGCTGAAATGAAGGAGCATCTGGTCTGTTGCTAACTGCTGTTCAATCACGTCATCCCCATAAATCACAACAATGGCCACACAAACAAACAGGTGAAAGTAGTCAGTCTGCAAGACACATATACAAAATGACTTCACTAACAGACAGAAACCTAAGATACACACTAATCATTCACTATTGTAAGTATCAGAGCTGTAAGGCTGATTGCCAATGCATTGACTTATCAGTAACTAAAATAATACCAATACTTTGCTGTACTTCTTCACAATCACTGGTCACAATATCGTAAACATCCCCCTTTGAAGAATACTTGCCCTTATTCTACTGAATTTGGAAGACGGCATCATGTTAGGCTATGTGCACATCTACAACAAACACAGCAGAAATTTTTCTTCCCCTTCCCCAGAAGAATGGACATCTTTGCTTTCATGCAAGCAGACTTATCAATTGTAGTGATCTTTTTAAGTTTCATTCACGAATGTAAAGTTTCACCTTGAGACAGAAGCCAGTCCTTGCTGGTCAAGCCAGCTTTGAAATGCATTATGTTGTTATTGAGTATATTTCAAATCTCTATTTCCGTGCAATGGATGCAAGTCTAACAACTGACGCAAAAATACAGGAAGTATTAGCAAGTTTACATAGTTATTCATAAAAGTTGCAAAGTATTATTTTGTTCAAGTTCAGAAAAGAGAAATACTCACGATTGTGAAGAACAGGTCAACTAACTACAACTAATACAGACTAGAACAGAAATGAAATTTACATGGGTCCTACTGGTTAGGATTAGTCAGATAAAGTTTACTTCACTGAGGCAAAACATTGATTTTAATCTGCAAATTAATCATGGAACAAAATGTCATCTGTAAAGCTGTATGATATATTTTTGAAAATTGAACCATTAGTATAAATGTTAAACATTTGGAAACAACATTTTTGCCAGGCTGAATATCACTCAAAATCTTGGCTGTTCTCTAGTACATTGAACTGGTATGACATTCCGCTACTTTCCAGAAGCTCAGTAAAGAATTCAGTTACAATTGCTATGGCCTTATTACTGAATTTTGCTTCTTCAGCCAACAATCATGACTGTTGTGAAGGAGTATTCATAGATCACAGAACACCTGCAGTGTGGAAATAGGCCATTCAACCCAACAAGTCCACACCAACCCTCAGGGCATCACACCCAGACCCATCCCCCTAATCTACACATCCCTGAACACTACAGGCAATTTAGCATGACCAATCCACCTAGCCTGCACATTTTTGGACTGTGGGAGAAAACCCAAGCAGACATGGGGAGAATGTGCAAGCTCCACACAGACAGTCACTCGAGGGTGGAATCGAACCTGGGTTCCTGGTGCTTTGAGGCAGCAGTGCTAACCACTGAGCCACCGTGCCGCCCTTGTGGAAGGATGATTTTAAACCCAAAATTCAAAATAATGGCATTGAAAAAACCTTGTGGAAAATATTAAGCTTTTTAACCATCCAGCTGCCACACCTGTACCATGAATAAAAGCCATAAGTAAAATGATGCAATGCGCATAAAAATAGGAAATGAAATTCAATGTTGTGAATGTGTCGTGATACATGATACTTCGAATTAGAATAAGGGATGATATTCAAGAGCTGAGGGATTTGGGAGCTTGTGGGTTACAACTGCTTAATGTTATCATTGGAGGTGGAAGAGGAAATATAAATAAAAGCAAATAGAATACTGAATTAGCAAGAGAGGAGTGGTATTTATAGTTATATTAATGATTAGTTTATATAAAACCTTAATAGAGTAAGGGATAGAGTCCTGCATTCAGATTTGGGCTCCAATACTTTAGGAAAGACCTTAAAACAGTAGAGAGGAAGCAGTACAGATTCATTTGGTGTCCAGTACAAAGTAATGCAAATATCAAAAAGAATCAAATAACTAGGGCTTTTTTAAAACAAAATAAAACAGGTGAGATTATACAGTGATTTGAAAGTATGCTTAAAATATGGAGTCAAGGCATAGGAAACATTAGATAGAGAAAAGTACCAAGTTATTGAGGGGTCTAAACAAGGGAGCCTAAAAACAAAATTGGATACTTTTTCCTGTCTACATTGTATAAGAAAGTAAGAGTTGAAGGAATTTAAGAGCCATTTGTTTGCACAATAAAAAGGGCCTAAGCAGCTAGTGATATTAAAAAGAAGTTCAGCTCTGATTCTTCAAGATACTCATTAAAACATACTACTTTGCGTTTCCTAGTAACTCATAAGGGTCATGTCAAAACAGGTTTAATGACGCTCCTGTGAAATGCTTTTGGACATTCTACAGTATTATCTCTCTTTTCATGCAGCACCCTCAGACTGAGAATTGCTGATATCACTTTAGGACCCCAAGAACTCTCAGCCAATAGGGACAGAAACCACACTGGTGGTGTTATTTTGCACCCCAACCTAGCCAATGTAAACGGAATCCTTCAGTTCTACATTAAAGGCACTCTAGAATTCCAAGCTGTTGACAGCAGTGGGCAAATGTGTACAGTATTAATACAAATAGTATAAACTGGAAAGTTGAAAAATGGTGGAGAAAATGAATGATGTTAGCTGGAAATCAAGGTCTTCAATTGTTCGAAAGATTTGTTCAAATATAAGTCTTTTCAAGCTGACAACCCTACATTTTACACATATTTTAAATGGACATATGCTCCAAGGATGATCATTTGGTAGCCACAAAATAACTGGAATGAAAGAGCTTGATGATTTCTATTAGAAAAACTAAAAGTGACTGATCTGGAGATCCCTGGGGTAAGAAAAAATTATTGTTTGGCCTGTAAACTACTTCAACATGGGCTGAGTAGGAGATGTGCTGCAGACTCTCCTAGTCAGACTAATTCTGAGTTTTGGTTGTGGAGGAAAACAAACAGTTGGTGTTGTTATAGTGGCAGATTCAATATTGGAATAACATGCATATGCTCCTCCAGAATTGCATGGAAGTGTTTATGTTTATACTGGAAACAAGAAGAAAATTCAATGCACAAAGTTGTGTTGTGGACAGACAACAAAGACAGGTGTTATTCTTGTCAGAGAATGTAGAATTCTGACCATTCTTAAAAGCAATATTTAAAACTCAATGCATCCAACATACCGATGAAATAGTGTTATGTTTGTTTTTATTGAAATGGAAATAAAGTAGAAACTATCAAAGACTGGTGACACTGGTGGGAAAACAATTGGTAACAGTTGAAGCATAGTGCAGAATATTAACCAGGAGGGGAGAAATAAACAGGTGCCTCATATTGCATTCAACAGCAATGTTACAATCCAAAGTGATTCTTTCCTGTCATATTGTTCATATTCATTACTGGGGCATCCAATCAACATATTGGACTATTAACAAATTCTAACAGGGAAATAGAGCGCCCCTAGCATATCCAGAGCGCATACCCCTCTTCTGCCATTTCTCCTCCTCATTTTGCCACTTCAGTCATCCAGTCAATTGACTAAGTTTTGTCAATAAATTGTCATGGCCAGTTCCTCTTTTTCAATTTCAGATTGGTGAATCAAAATGGGACGTGATAGCACAATTCATGGAAAAGTTTAGTCCAATGATTAATCTGCCATTCGATTAGTTGAGAATAATAGCCTATTAATGAGTTTGTCAGGAAAGAAAAGAACATTTCATTTTTAAAATGTGTACTATTTCATACCAAATTGTACGTTTTCAGTCAGAGTTGTCTCTATTTTACAGCACCTTTTGAATACTTTATGTTCTTTTTAATTAAAAATAACTACAGATTTACAATCAAGTCTAACATGAAACACTTTGCTTGGTGTTGATACAGTTATTTTGACATTTCAGTCCTGCTTAAGAGACTAAAATTAAAGCTAGCACTGTCTAAAAAGAACAGCAGCCCAAGCAATTGTCTACTTAAGCCAGAGGACAGCACTGACAGAATGAAATGTAATATTATGCATTTTTATCCATAGAATTCACCCTTTTTACTGAACAGTAGCAGAATGGTTGGTTAGTTCAGTTGGCTGGATGGTTGGTTTACAACGTGGAGTGATGCCAACAGTGTAGGTTCAATCCCCTCAGGTTACCATGAAGGACTCTCCTCAATCCCTCCCCTCACCTGAGGTCAGCTGCCCCACAAATTAAACCATCACCAGTCGTTGTCCTTTTCTGTTGAGACAGCAGCCCTATGGTCCTTTGGGGCTATGGCTACTTTACTTTTACCAGGACAAGAAAGCACAGCACAGTTGTTCGCAAACCAATAACAGGAAAGCCACTTCTCATCTGTCAGCCTTCCGCAGTGGAAGAAGAATTGGTGATAGTTGGGGTGAAATATAGTTCATAAAGACTAATGACTGACAAACTAAATTGCTGACCTGTATATATAAACTGAACATTCAAGTCAACCACAACTTAATTTAGTAATAGTCTGGTGGTGTTTCCCTCCAAAGAAGAAAAAAATGATCTGTTTTATTTTGTCAATGCATCCAAAAGTAGTATCACCACCATACTATCCTGACCACACAATGACCAAAGTGGTATTGCTGTTAGCTGTCACACTATAATGTAGTGCAACTTTGTTTAACATGCATAACAGTCATTACTTCAGAAGTGTTAAGTTCAGCAATTTGCAAGAATATAAGAAATATGAGCAGTAGGTCAAATGACCCTTCACATCTCTGCTTTCAAAAAGAGCATGGCTGAGCTTAAGTTATAAATCCACTTTCATGACCAACCTTCATAGCCAATGATTCTCTTGGAGTCTAAACCTCTTATCAATTTCAGTCTTGAATGTACTCAACAACTGACCATCTACAGCGGTCTAAAGTGCAGAATTCAAAATGACTATGGTTCCTTGCTTTTCAACATCTGCTCTGCCAAGCTCTCTCCTGTGTTTTTATTAGATCACCTGTCATTCTTCTAAACCCCAGCCAATTATAGATTCATTCAACTCAATCCTTCTTCATTAGGACAACTCTTTCATTCTATGAATCGGTCTGGTATCTTGGATCCACTATAAGGTAAAGATTTTTTTCCTTAGTTACAGAGACCAAAACTGTGCTAAATACTCAAGGTGTGGTCCCATTGAAACTTTATAGAACTGCAGCATGATTTCATTAGTCCAATTTTCTGCAAGAAATGGCAACACACAATTTTTCTTTTCAATTGTTCGCTGTACTTGCATTTCAATACCTTTCTGTGTTTATTGTACAAGGACATGAACTCCAACATTTAGTTCAGATAGTTCTGAAGTAAAATACCGTAGAGATACTGGAAATCTGAAATAGGACAGAAATGCTAGAAATACTCAGCAGTTCAGGCAGAGAGAGAAAGTTCACATTTCAGGTTGACGTGACCTTACATCAGAAATAAATGTAACAGATTTTGAGCTTTGGAATGGATGGTAGAAATAGCAAAAGACAAGGTCTGTGACAGGATGGAGGAGAAGAGACATTAAGTGGTAAAGATTATAGTTTCTCACCATTGAAAAATTTCTGCTTTTCCGTTTTTCCTCTCAAAGTGAATAACAGTACATTTCCCCAAATGTACTCCATCTGCCACCAAGTTACTCAATAATCTAATCAATGTAGATTCCTTTGCAAATTTCTTTGTATATTCTTCACAGTTTATTTTCCCATCTAGCTTTGTTTCAGCAGCAAACCTGGATACATTGTATTTGGTCCCTCTCTGCAAGTCATTAACGCAGATTTGAAACAGTTGATGCCCGTCACTGATTTGTACAGCAACACACTACGGGCTGAAAATGAACTCTGCATTCCTACTCTCTGCTTTCAATCCTTAACCAATTATCTATCCATGCTAACATATTATTTTTAAACCCAGGAGGTCTTTCCTGTGCAACTCCCATTTGTGTGACACCTTAGTGAATACCGGAGGAATTGAATAGGTACTTTGCATCAGTTTTCACAGTGGAAGACATGAGCAGCAAATTTCAACAGAGTCAGAGGCAGAGGTCAGTATCATGGCTATCACTAAGGAGAAAGATCTGAAGGTGGATAAATTACTTGGAACAGGTGCTCTGATGGACATAATGGAGGAGATTATAGAGGCATTGGTAGTGATCTTTCAGGAATCACTGGGGTCAGGAAGGGCTCCAGAGGACCAGAAAATGGCTAATGTAACAGCTGGCAGAAGACAGGAAATTTTAGGTCAGTTAGCCTGGCCTCGGCACTGGTAAGATTTTACAGTCCACAATCAAGGATGAGATTGCAGAGTATTTGCATGGTAAAACAGGGCTTAATCAGCATGGCTTCGTCACAGGGAGGTTATGCCTGACAAATCTGTTGTAATTCTTACAGGCGGTTACAAGCAAGTTAGACAAAGGAGAGCCAGTGGATGTGATTTAATTAGATTTCCAGGAGGCCTTTGACAAAGTGCTGCACAGGAGGCTGCTGAATAAGATAAGAGCTCATGGTGTTAGGGGCAAGGTACTGGCAATGGATAGAGGATTGGCTAACTGGCAGGTGGCAGACAGTAGGGACAAAGGCGTCTTTTTCAGGATGGCAGCCAGTGACTAGTGGAGTTAAGCAGGGGTCTGTGTTAGGACCACAACTATTCACACTTTACATTAATGATCTGGACAAAGGAACTGAGGGCATTGTGGCAAAGTTTGCTGATGACACAAAGATAGGTCTAGGGGCACGCAGTGTTAAGAAAGCGGGGAACTGCAGAAGGACTTAGACAAGCTAGGAGATGGGACAAAATTGGCGCATGGAATTCAAATGTGTGACGTAATGCTCTTTGGTAGGAAGAATAGAGATGTAGACTATTTTCTAAATGAGGAAAGGCTTCTGAAATCTGAAGCTCAAAGGTACTTGGGAGTCTAAATTTAGCATTCTCTTATGGTTAACATGCAGGTTCATTTGGCAGTTAGGAAGGCAAATGCAATGTTAGCATTCATTTCAAGAAGGCTAGAATACTAGAGCAAAATGCACTGCTGAGGCTGTATAAAGTTCTGGCCAGACTGTATTTGGAATATTATAAGCAGTTTTGGGCCCCGTATCTAAGGAAGGATGTGCTGGCATTGGAGGGGGTCCTCAGGAGGTTTACAAGAATGATCCTGGGGATGAAGGGCTTGTCATATGAGAAGCAGCTGAGGACTCTGCGTCTGTACTCAATGAGGGTAGATCTGATTGAAACTTACAGTATTCTGAGAGGCCTGGATAGAGGGACATGGAGAAGATGTTTCCACTAGTAGGAGAGATTGGGACCTGACAGCACAGCCTCAGAGTGAAGGGTCAACACTTTAGAACTGAGATGAAGAGAAATTTCTTCAGTGAGGGAGTGTTTAATCTGTGGAACTCATTGCTACACAGGGTTGTGGAGACCAAGTGGTTGAGTGTGTTTAAGACAGAAATAGATAGGTTCCTGATTTGTAAAGGGATCAAAGGTTACAGGATGAAGGCAGGAGAAAGCGGTTCAGAAACATATCAGCCATGATCAAATGATGGAGCAGACTCAATGGGCCGAATGGCCTAATTCGGCTCCCTATGCCTTATGGTTTTTTGAAAATACAAATACACTACACCCACTGGCTCCCCTTTAGCACCCCAATAGTGACATCCTCAAAATGTTATGACAGATTTTTCACATACAATCTCCTTATGATAACAGATGGCTCTGTCTAAACATATTATAATTTTCTGACTGTCCTGTTACTACCTCCTGAATAATGGATTTCAGCCATCTCCTACTCATGTCAGCTAACTGATTTATCGTTAACTGTTTTTTTCCGTCCGTTTATTGTACAATAGTTCTACATTTTCTACTTAAAAATCTACTTCTTACTTTTTCTCATTACCTTTAGAAAAGGTAAATTCATTTTACCTGTATTTTCCTTACTGCACTTAATACAACTATGAAACAAGCATCATTGCAACATAAATGCCAAAGCAATTAAAATGTTGAACTTTATCCATAAATCATTACATGGTGGCAGAAGTCAAGCTATTCAAAACTCTGGTTAAACAACAGCTTGAATACTACTCCCAAGATTTTTCAGAATTTCAAGCTTGAAAAGCACAGAGAACCATGAATTAGGCCCAAGCTTCAACTGTGCAATTAGGAGTAATGAAAAATCTTGGCCCTCTTAACCTTAAAAAAAAGTGTCTGAAAGATTACCTCTTGAGGTATTTAAGACAGTAAACAGCCGAGAAAGGATAGATTAAGAACATTTGATAGATTAAGAACATTAAATTTAATTATAACTGTAGGATAGTAGGGCACAGGTTTAATCTAGGCAAACATAAGTCTCATGTCAGGAGATTTTTCATCACACAGACCATTCATACATAGAATGAATTCCTTGGTAGGACGAGATAAGCTATTGCTGGGTGGTGTCATTTGCACAAAGGAGTGAAGATGGCTGAATGGTCTCCCATACTTACCTATAGATGTGGAGGAAATGCTTCCCTTTGTGGGACAATCTAGAATGAGAGAGTTTATAATTATAGTTTTAGGCTACAGGGTGGCAGATTTAAATAGAGATAAGGAGGAATTACTTCTCTCAAAGGGTTGTGAATCTATGGAATTCAGTTCCCCAGAGTATAGTGGATGCCAGGACACTGAACAAATTTGAGGAGAAGATAGACAGGTTTTTAATCAGAAACAGATGAGAGCGTTCTGGGCACCAGGCAGGAAAGTGGATTTGAAGCCAAGATAAGATCAACCATAATCATATTAAATGGTGGAGCAGTCTTGAGGTGCTGACTTGCCTACTTCTGCACCTAGTTCTCATGTTCTGTCCAATGATCCCCTCAAGTGATGATATATTTTAGCTTTGGACTTGCATGTAGAAGCAAGAAAAAACTATTATATGTAGTACTGACATGATGCTGCTAACTATAATTATACAACTGAAAGAGTCCAAGTCAATTATTGAGGGAAATTATGTTCAAATGGACTGGTTTAAAAATAAGGCTGCTGTAAGTGCGTTACTCCTACAATCAGTATTTATCAGAGTCCACAGGACTTAAAAAGCCTAAAGGAGCAAACCCTAACCTGGTAATGAGCCCAACATGCCTCCCAAATGCGAAGTGCCTCTGCTTCAGGAAACTCGCGTTTAAAACAGAGAAGAATCCATCGATGGCAGAACAGCATCTGGAGCCCATCCTCACCCAGGTTCACCAAGTGCTGGTAAAAACGGGGGTGCATCAATCTCAGTAACTCTCTTAGGTATAGCTTTAAAAGACAAATATACAGACATTACATTTTTTAAAAATATCTAACCACATGCACACAAATATGTAATTAACTGCAAGGGGTTCTTAAAAATATGAGATCATCCGAAGTTCCTACAAAAGGGTTAAAGAACAGTGCATGCATATAATTCAAGAAAAGTAGTCCTAAAAATCTTATCGCATTTATAATTAACAATCTAACAATTACACCCCATTTACAATGCATGTTGCAATAAGGTACGACGTACCCAACTTGCCACCCATGGGCCACATATAGCTCGCTACGCAGTTCATATGGCCCAACATCTGTTTTAATTTAAAGCTCATTCATAGATTTTGCTACTTGTCCAATCAGAAGCCTTTCTCTCCTGTGCGTGCTGCCACAGGTTTACTGGTGACCTATCAGCAGCAAATGCAGAAGAAACTGGTCTATGATTGCAGAACCAGTGAGCAAACTAAGGTCTGGACCTGAGGCAGTGAGTGTGCGAGGGTGGCTCTGGGACTAGAAGGCTTCCTACTTTCATTTTGGATCTCTAACATCCATAGTATTTTACAGCAGGAAAGGTTCAGGATCTGAGGCTGAGAAGGGGGCTGATCATCTGGATCATCCCTTCTCTGGACACATTCTTAAAGCAGTCACTCAGGGACAGGTCATGACAGATTGAGTCCTGCCATGTTTTTTGTGTAAAGGGGGATGTTCTTGGTTAAAAATTGGTGGATTTGATTGAAGGTCAGTTTCTTGTTCGGGGAAATCAGAAGTAGTTTGGGGTCCAGATCAGCTACAGAAGCTCCTCTTGGTTGGTCAGGGACAGACAGCCCAGGTTGCCACAGCTGAAAGCCACAGGTGAGTTGGGCAGCAGCTGCTTCTGGCTGCTATAGAAATGTAGTGGGAAAAGGGTTGGGCTCTGCTGTGCAGGTAGGTCATGGGGAGCTTTTCGCCCTGTTGAGCTACAGTTAAGGATTGGTTGCTTCTGGTTATCCATTCACAGGTAAACGGCCTGGTAGTACACATTGAAGTTTTCGCAACAGACTGCTATCTCAGTGATCTGCAGTGTTGCCTTGGCACAGAGCTGAGGTTGCAATGCATTTTTAACAACTTTGCTGCTCATGGTCATACAGGTCCCTGACAAGATTTGCTATTCTCTTAAAAATAAATTCTGGTTAATTTTGGAAGCACAAAACGCCATGAATTATTTTGTTAAAGTTACTAATGGGCAAAGTAAGAGAGTGAGAGGAGTGAGAAAGAGGAGGGAAGGGGTATAGAGACAGGGAAGGGAATGAGGAAAAGAGAGAAATGGGTAAAAGATATAGAGGGAAAGAGATAAGAGTGTGAGAGAAGAAAAAAGGAGAGTGAAAGCAGGCCGAAGAGAGGAGAAAATCCTTGGTTGAAAGTCAACCCGCAATTTTGAGAGAATTCTGGAAAGACCAGCTCCGAATGTGCCCCACCAGAGATGAGACAAGGTCAACATTAGTTAAAAGTAACTCCATAGCTCAGTCTCAGTTGTCACTTTCTTCCGTGGTGATCATCAACTGGGGCTGATTCTTTTTCTCTGTCTAGCTCTGCTTCTTAACCAACACAAAACATTGGCTTTATCCACCCCCGCCAACTCCAGACCACAAAAAAAATTAACATATGACCACACTCATGCAAAAAGTGTGACTACTGCAGTAGGGCAGCTGGAGCTCTAAATTAGCTCTGCTTATTTACTGCACAAAGGATTCAGAGCCCCAATGTCAACATTGGAATAACAATGAAGGGGAGTGATTTATTTCTAATCTTTGAAATTTCTAAACTACTCACATGGAACTACAAAGTTAAATTTCAGTGACAATATCTATTTAGCTGTTCAAGTGAATTCTGTTCCAAATAGCTAAAACTAATTGTAAGTTCCTATTGTAGATCATAAAAACTCCTTGAAATACTAGAGATAAAATACTAATCAAAAAGAAAAGCAATATTTCATGAAGCTTGACTTGTTCCTAAGTAATCTGCATTAGAAAGGATTTTCAATCATGCTAATTGTGCTGCAAAGATTTTGAAGAGTCACATTACAATGAAACATTCTCCAAAAATTAATTTGGTTCCCTTCAAATCATTTTCAGCTAAAATATTTTTCTCAGCTAACTTGATTCTTACCAGTTGTCTTTCCATATCATCATCACGTGGTGAGCTGATGAAAATTGTATTCTGCATTAGTCCAACAAAACACCAAAAAGTGTCGGACTCGTCCCTGACTTCTGACAAGATTGGAGCCACCAGATCTGACATTCCTTGAGAATACCCTATCTCAGGGTTATAAACTGCATAGTTCAGCAAAATATTTCTGTGAAAATATTCAAATAAAATATGCATGAGTGCCATATTTTGGGAATTCTGTTTCTTTTAATTCACGAAGAATTTTGGGATTCAACGATCCTTCAGTGTTGTGAATTTTCACAATTTATAGAAAATGACATAAGCTGTAGATATTTGGATTGTAAAGCCAGACACGGAAACTGTTACCCATACAAAACAGGAGAACTGTTAAATAAACATAGGCACTCCCAAACATGCCATGAATTGGACTGGCCCTTTCTAGTGAATTTTGTATGAAGCTGGTTTCAATGTGTGAGTAAACGCAATAGTAGTGGATACTGTTGGGGAGCGTGGGGGCAGCAGGGGAGGAAAAAGACTGTGAGAGCTTTAGTGATGAGGGACTCAATTGCAAGGGTAACTAACAGGCAGTTCTATGGCAGCAAAAGAGACTCGCAAATTGTATACTGCCTCCCTGGTGTCAGGATCAGGGATGTCACAGAGCAGCTGCAGGGCTTTCTGAAGGGGAGGGTGAACAGCCAGAAGCAGTGAAACATGGGTTTAAAAAAAAAGTCCTGTGACAGAAATTTAAGAGTTAGTTAGTAGATTAAGGAGGAAGATTATTTTAATCTCTGGTTACTTCCAGTACCACACACTACAGAGTATAGGAATAGAAAGCTAAGTAAGATGAACGTGCGGCTAAAGGGATGGTGTAGGAGGAAGGGCTTTAGGTTTTTGGATTATTGGGACAACTTCTGGGATAGGTGGGACTTGTACAAGCTAGTCAAATTGCACCTGAGCTGGAATATATGCAATATGCTTGTTGGTAGGTTTGCTCATGCTGTTGGGGAGATTTTAAACTGATTTGGCAGAGAAAACCAGCAGGATAAAAGGACATAGAAGTTTAGAAAGCTAAATTCTATATATTTTAATGCAAGAAGCTTGACTGGTAAGGCAGATGAACTTACAGCATTGATCAGCAAATGGAAATATGATATTGTTGCAAGTGCTGAGACATAGTTGAAGGAAGGACAGGACTGGCAGCTCAACATTCCAGGGTATAGAAGTTTCAGGCATGATAGGCAGAGAAGTAAGAGAGGTGGGAGCATTGCACTATGGAGAAAGGAAACTATCTCTGCAGAAATAAGGGAGGATGTCCTAGAAGAGTCTTCATATGAGGCAATCTGGGTAGAGTTCAGAAATAAAAGAGGGGCGTTTATCTTGCTGGGATTACACAAAAGGCTTCCCAACAGTCAGAGGGAGATAAAGGAGCAGATATGTAGGCAAATCACAAAGGTAAGAGAGAAACAAGACTATTGTTATGAGTGAATTCAACTTTGTTAATCAACTGGGATTGTCTCAGTGCGGAAAGATTAGAAGGGGTGGAATTTTTAAAGTGCGTTCAGGAGAGCTTTTTGTGCCAGTATGCTGATAGTCCTGCTACAGTTGAGACAGTGTTAGACCTAATCTGAGGGAATGAAGCTGTTTAAGTGGTTGGAGTTTCAGTGGGCAAGAATTTTGAGGATAGTGATCATAACTCAGTAATTTTCAACGTCATTATGGAAAGGGACAAGGATAGTGCAAGGTTAATTGTCTAAATTGAGGGAAGGTCAATTTCAATGTCATTAGATATAATCTGGCAAACATAGGCTGGGAGAATCCGAGAATCCGAGCTGCTTGCAGGTAAGTTTACTTTTGGTAAATGGATACTTTTATAAGTAGCATAGTGATAATTCAGGACCAGCATGTTCTGTAAGAGTGAAGGGCAAGAGCAGCAAGTCCAGGGAACTCTGGATCTCAAGGGATAACGAGAGCTTGATGAAGAGAAAGGACGCATATGTCTGATTCAACACATTAAAAGTGGGGAGGCCCTTCAAAAGTATAGAGAATGTAGGAGGTTTCTTATAAAGGAAATTAGGAGAACAAACGGGGCCACAAACTATCTTTAGCAGAAAACCTCAAGGCTTTTTTTTCCATAAAAGTATAGTCAGAGTAAAAAAACACCAGGGATAGAGCGAGACCTATTAGAGACTAATGGGGAACCTGCTCATGGAGCAAGGACACGGGTGAGGTCTGAAATGAATACTTCTCATCTGTATTCACAGAGGAGAAAGACGTTGTAGCTGGGGATATCATTTGGGTTGGTGAGGTTCTAGAATAAGTTAAAATTGTTTTAGTGGGCATACAGCTGCATAAATCCCCAGGGCCAGATGAGATGTATCACAGGTTGTTATGGGAAGCAACAGAGAAGATTGCGCGGGGGCCTGGCAGATATATTTAATACTTTGTTGATGCAAAGCGAAGCGCCAGATGATTGCAGGATAGCTAATGTGGTTTCTTTGTTCAAGAAGGCAGCAGGGATAAGCATGTTAGTCTGACAAGAGTGGTAGGGAAATTATTGGAAAATATTCTGAAGGACAGGAGTAATCAATAATTAAAAAGGCAGGGATTGATCAGGGATCGTTAGCATGTATTTGTTAGAAGGAGATTCTATCAGACTAATTTAGTTGAGTTTTTTGAAAAAGTGACTAAATATATTGACGAGGGTAGTGCAGTTCATGTGGTTTACATGGACTTACATTTGACAAGGTCCCACATGGATGGCTGGTTCGAAAAATGCATGGGATCCAAGGTAACTTGGAAAACTGGATCTAAAATTGGCTTAGTAATAGGAGGTAAAGTGTGATGATGGAGGGTTCTTTTTGTAATTGGAAGCCTGTATTGACCATTGTTGTTTGTAATGGCTTAGATGTGAATATAGAAGGTATAATTAGTAAGTTTGAACCTGACAGGAAAATTGGGAGTGTTAGTGACAGTGAGGAGGAACGTCTCTGGCTACAGTCTGATATTGATCAACTGGTAAATTTGGCAGAGCAACGGCATATAGAATTTAATCCTGATATGTATGAGGTAATGCACTTTAGGAGATCAAATAAGAGAAGGGTATACACAATGGGTCCCTTGGGAGTATTGAGGAACAAAGGGACTTTGTTGTACAAGTCTATAGATGGCTGAAGGTGTCAGCGCAGGTAGACAATGTAGCCAAGAAAGCACACAGGATGCTTGCCTTCATTAGCCAGACCGCAGAATATAGGAGCAAGGAACTCTTGTCACAACTTTTTAAAACATCAGTTAGGCCACAGATAGACCAGAACTGCATATAGTATTCTATCCGAAGGACTGGAGATGCTGCAGAGGATGCATTGGGATGTTGCCTGGGAAGAAAAGTCTCAGTTATGAGGAAAGGTTGGATAGGCTGGGTTATTTTTAGTTGGAGCAGAAGAGACTGAAGGAGGATCTGACTGAGGTATACAAAATTATGTGAGGCATAGACAGGGTAGATCATGAGAATCTCTTCCCCATGGCAGATGTGTATAATTCTAGAGGGCACAAGTTTAAGGTGAGGAGCAAGTGGTTTAGAGGAGATCTAAGAAATTTATTTTTCACTCACAGAATGGTAAATATATGGAATGGACTGCCTAAGAAGGTGGTGGAGGCAGATAACTTGCAACAATTAAGAAGCATCTGGATGAGAACTTAAAATGCCGGGACACAGCCCGCAATGGACCAACTACAGATAAGTGAGATTAGTTAGTTTGGTGTTTGTTGGTTGGCACAGAAATGGTGGCCCAAAGAGTCTGTTTCTATGCTGTATGACTCTATGACTAAATGTAATTGGCAGCTTTCTGGTCAGTCTCAAATTTGGGAAATTGACAAAAAGTCAACTAATTATAGGTAGAAACAAAAAAGAAGAGACCCACATATTGAGGGATCAGGACCAGAAATTGCTGTGAAGTCAGCTGGGTTCATGAAAATGAACGCAGCAAAGATGGGAGACTGAGTAAATGCTATGAGAAGATTATAGTGTGCAGGGTTAGCTAGAAATTACTTCAAGTCAAGCAAGGTGACTGATTATGAGGCCTAGCATATCAATTCCTTGCATTATTATGGAAATACAAGTGTAATGATTGAAATAAGGAATCCGATCATAATCTTTGCCGCTGTATGTTCCCATGCTGTGAAATAAAGCAGCTGACTGATTCATATCTGAGTAAGTACTTGTTCATTTTGCTTTAGGAAAAAATGAAAAATCTATGCAAGAAGACATGTCATTTCTTTGTACCTTTTGCAACTATAATAACTTTAATTACTGAGCAAAACAGTCATGGTCTGAAAAATGTCCAGGCTCAGACTGCTTATGGATGTGTTGGGAGCCTTTTTACCTAAAACAACATTTAAGACAAAAACTTGATCTTAATATTGCAATTCAATTTTTTGGAATGTATCGTGGTTATTTGCACAATTTCAATGTAGTTTCTGCATTACCTAAATCATTTCCTGTGCAAAACATTTACAGTCACCTCTACGCTAGAAATTTACCTCCGTGAATCAATGAAGAATTATCAATTGTCAGCCCACCCTTCATTTGCCAAGGATAGAAAGGAGAGACTTGCATTGACATAGTTCATCAGATTTTTGAGAACTATCATATTATAGACTGAATTACTTCAAAATTTGGTCAATGTAATGTAGATAAACACAGCGCAAACATCAATTTTCACATTTGATGCAAATAATGCAAAGTAGAGTTCTCTGCTGGTTCAAAGATGTTGAAAATTGGAAGCTGTTGAACTGAATAGTGCAGAGTATTGTTTGCTAAGCACTTTTAAATTTAAGTAGAGTCAGGTTGCCACTTTGAGAAGATGTCTTCAAAACTAACCACTCTACATAGTCACACACTACAACCTTACCTCATAGCTTCCACATTGGGGTTGTTTTCCCCTTTGAAGAACTGTTTGGATCGATCAGTCCGAACAACATCTTTATCAACAGTGAATTGAATTTTTCGCCAAAATTCTTCTTGTTCCTCTGAAGTCATAGATAATCTGAGAAAACAAAAGAACGGCTTAAGCCTCAATTCCTGACATTCACAAAGACCACTCCCTTTTCCTGCTGAGTTTATTTTACATAAGCGATCCCACTACAGCTTGTTGCCAGGTGTCTTTTATCTCTGCCTTCCTTTAGATATGGTGTAATGACAGACGTAAGTGAACTTATCACAATCATGATTGTGCTTGAATTAAAATATCAAAAATAAACAAAGTAATTTCTTAAATATACTTTGAGCTTAAACAATACCAATGATATATTTTGATAATATTAGCTGTAGCATGGTGAATGAGCATAAATATTAAAACGCAAATTGCTTCTAACTGGACCCAAATGAACCATCATGAAACAACTTACAAATAAAATATCATTTCCCTTCAGTCAGGTTTCACGATTTGACTTTTTTTTAAAGATGACAACGGACAACATTATTTCACATAAATGAGGCACGCACGCTACAGTACTAGACATTTCCTCAGTTCAGTTATATCATAAGATATCCATTAAAAAGTCACCGTCAAAATGAACAAAAAATACAGTTGGCACATATATATTTAAAGGCACACTTGGGAAACCTGCTTCAATGTTTCTGTTCAGACTGTAGTTAGTCACTCGTAATGCCAAAGTTATAACAGCAGTACTTACGTTGTGTTTTTTCCCTTTTTTTGCTCCCCCATTTTAATCTAATCATCTTTATTGATAGACACTCTGATTCCTGTCAAGACTGGGACTTATGAGTAGATTGTGTTGACATGCTTTTCATTTTCCTTTAGAAATTGAACAATCTTATCTCTATTTATTACTCTGTGTAATGGCTCAACAGAGGCTGTATCTCAAATTAACTACAGATGAAAGACTTACTACACTTTTTTTTGAAACTTGAGAAGATTGTATTGAATAAAAGAGGATAAACACTGTACATAGAAGAATTAATAACTAACAGCCAGTTCCAAAGATATGTACAATAGCAAGCTGTGAAACAAAAAGGCGTGAAATAAAATTTACTGGTAACGTGAACCTGAGGCTCCACTAACTAATAATATCCAAATCACTCACTGACCTTCTCTAAAGAACTTGAGGGGTAATTTGTCTATGCTCCTGTTGCAAAATGAGTTAATAATGAATCAGCAGCCTGTTTTATTACAACATTCCATATTCTCTTTTCTTCTGAAGTCATTCACCATCATCATACTCCTGCTGATAAGCTAAACCTGCCATTGATATTTAAGACTCATAGTTAGAAGTGGAAGTACTCTTTTAAATAATGTGATCATTGTAAATGACTATCAATCCACATTTTTATTGTTGAAATTAACTCTTAAGCGTGATGCTTCATTCTTCTGAGTTTTGAATTTCTGTGGGAGATCAAATAACATTAGCATCATTTTTTAAATACTTTTGCTTTTTGTGGCTTTGCCGGTCTGTCCCTTTTTTGCTTTCCCTCTTTTTATACTTGATTGTACACAGAATTAACCCTGCTGGTCACACCTGTGTTTATTTCCTAATCTTGAAAGCTGGCTGGCTACAGGAACATCCTGTTGGTTATCCTGCTTGCTCAAATTCCATATTACTTACTTACTATGGCAAGATTTCATATTTCACAACATTAAAGACATTTTTTAAAAACAGTGTAGTCTGCAAGAGTCAGTCTAACAAATGGCAGAAGCTGTCTGAGCTACAGAATATTTGAGCCTAATGTAAGTATTCCCTTTTCTTCACATCCCAGCAACTTATTTATTTGCAGTTGAAATCCCTGATTACAACTATTTACTCATTTCCTGCAATTTGTTACATAATTCTCTCTGCATTTCCTTTCCATCATTTCTAATATATGATAATGGTGTGATGAACCTTTTCTATCCTTTATTTCAATCTATCTATATTTTGTTTGTGTGTCCTTTCTAAGACTTTTGTTATTATGCAAATGTTATTTCCGATTAAGACAGCTAACCTATCACTCCCTTTTTAAAAAATATTTGCTAAAGACATTGTAATATACATTATTTAACACATAATCCTGTCCATTCTGCCACTATGTTGCTGTTAATAGCCCCTAATTATTTCCTCTCCAATTCCTCTATTTGGGTGCTGACAATTTATATATAATACACCTTTTTCTTATATTTAGGTTGCAAATACATCCACCTGAACTTTCCCTTCAACTAACTCAATTCCTTTACGGCAGTTCTATTTATCCTTTGTTACAATCATAAAATGCTGGAAGCTGTTATTGAAGAAGTTGTATTGGGCACAATAAGTTTAAGGTAATTAAATAGGGTCAACATGGCTTTGTGTAAAGGAAATCCTTTGACCAATCTATTAGAGCTCTTTGAGAAAGTAACATATGCTGGGGAATGGGTGGATGGACCACACTTAGATTTTCAGAAGGGATTTGGTAAAGTGCCACATCAAACGGTTACAGTGGAAAATAAAAGTTTATGGTGTGAGGCGTAGCATCTTGGCATGTACAGAACAGTAGCTGGCTAACAGTAAACAGGCAGTATGCAAAAATGGATCTTTTGACAAGGTATAACAAGTGGTGTGCCATAGGCATCAGTGCTGGGATTGTAAATTGTTTACAATTTATAGAAGTGACTTGGATAAAGGACAAAAGGTTTGCCTGCCCAATTTGCTGATGACACAAAAGGTAAGTAAGAAAGCAAGCTGTGAATAGGTCATTAGGATGTAAAAAGATAGGTGAATTGGCAAGGATTTGGCAAATGGAATATAATGTAGGAAGATGTGTAATTTTCCATTTTATTGAGGAAGAATAAAAAAAAATCCAAAAGTTTGAGAGATTGCAAGCTCTGAGACACAACGTGACTTGGTTGTTCTTGTGCATGATCTTAACAGGCTAGAATATGGATACGGCAGGTAAATAAGAAAGATAATAAAAACTTATCATTTATTGAGAAAAGATATGAATGGAGAAGTCGGGTAATTATGTTTCAGTTGTACAAGGCACTGATGAGAGCCCAACTGGAAATTGGACCCCATGTGTAAAACACTGTTCACCTTTTTTAAGGAAGGATGCAAATGTGTTGGAAGCAGTTCAGAAGTTTATAGAATTAACACCTGGAAAGGCATGGCTTGTATCAATTGGAGTATAGAAGAGTAAGAGGCAACTTGATTGAATAAAAAAAACCTAGGAATCCTGACAAGGAAGGTGTGGAGAGGGTGATTCCTCTTACGGAAGAATCTAGCTTTAAATAGTGAACCCCAGTTCTAAAGATTTACCCATTTAAGACAGAGATAAGAATATTTTTCTCCTCGCAGTGAGTCAGGAGTCTTTGGTAGCCTTTACCTGAAAAGCAGTGGAAGCAGAATCACTGAATACTTTTAACGTTGAGTTGGATAGATTATTGGTAATTGGGGTAGGCAGGATGTGGATTTCAGGTTATAATCAGATGAGTCATTAACTTATTAAAATGCAAGAGCAGGTTGGAAGGGCTGAATAGCCTTCTGCCATTCCTTGTTTGTATATTTACTGCAGAGCATTTTGTATAGACTGTCAAATTATACAAGCTTCTTTTGGTCCTGGTATTAAATTTTAAAAAGAAAACATGCATGCATAAATGCTTTTTAGGACTTCAGGATATCTCCAAGTGTTTCAGAGTCAAATAAAGTACTTTTGAAGTGAAGTCGCAGTTGTATTGTCAGACCACAGCAACCAAATTGATCACATCAAGCTTCCACAAAAAGTAACATGATAATAAGCAGATAATCCATTCTTGTGACAGATCGAAGAATAAATATTATCCAGAAAAACAAAGAAAAATGCACTGCTTTTCTTTGAAATATGTCTTTTTTATTAGCCAAAACCCTTTAGGGAAAGAAAACTGTGACTGCAAAACCATAATAATGAGGTTGGCTCTTAGCCACTTTTTGAAAGGGTCTAGCAAGTTACTCAGTTGTACCAAAACTGTTACAAGTAACTTTAATCTACATAAAATGCGGTGTTTCAGGCTGGTGATTCACGATAATGTTATCAAGTTTAATTAAGGATGGATAATCACTTGCTAGTGATTCCCATATCAAACATATGAAGAAAAACATCTTGAGAGGGGCGTGGCCTTGGTTTATCATCTTCAAGAGTGCAGCACACTCCCAGTACTGCAGGAAGGTTTTAAAGTTTGTAAATATCAGGTTATTTCTCAACTGATCATCAAGTAGTCAACAGTAAATACTTCCTGTGTTCTGAGGAAATGCTCAAGAATCCAGTACTGGCCTATGGATATCAATTACAAATTACCTTTTATTCTGAATTTCTTCATACTCTGTACGTTTCTGAATCCGCAGAGATTCTCTTTCTTCTGATGTCGATTCACAACTATAAAATTGTAACAGAAATGGCCAGACTTCTCCACGAATTGTAGGATCAA